CCCAGGACCTGCCGCACACCACGCACACACACCTCGCTCCTCCGCCCGGGACCTGGACCTGCCGGCCCACCACGCGCACACACCTCGCTCCTCCGCCCTGGACCTGCCGGCCCACCAAGCACACACCTTGCTCCTTGGTCCCCACTCAGGCTGCACGTGAAGCTCCTCATACTTTCTCAGCGCAAGTTCCAGTTTTGCCTTCAAGTCGATGGCACACCGTAAGTGTCCACCATGGGTCCCTGCTCGGGTAAACCTCTGCAGAACAAGGAAGAAGTCACAGAGAACACAGACCCTGCCAGGAGACAACATGGCCTGGTCTGTAGCCTTGGGAACAAATGGTCAAGGACACCTGGCTGACCCCCTAGGTCACCCCAAGGACAAGACCCACACCTGGCACTTTCCACATGTCCTCCTTCCATCCTACGGCTCCCGCCAACTACATCTTCACTCTGCCCGGGCACTGGCCTGACAGGGACAGCTTTGAAGGCCAGGTGCCCAGCCTCACCTGGACCCAGGAGCACACAGCTGGCAGGAACTTGTTCTGGATGAGCTTGATTGCATCGCGGGCAGCATGGAGGACAGCAAGATTGTCATCATTCTCTTGCACCTTCAGACCGTCTGGAATGAGGTGAATGGGGGTCACAAGAGACCCTGAGGCCAAGAGGCTACAGCCCACAGGGAAATGCTGGATGCCCACCCAGGCCAGCTGAGTGTTGACAGAGCTCACTGCTGTGTGATTCTGGCCCTACACACATCCTTCCTGCACCCACCCTGCCCAGGGCCTTGCTGGAGTGGGCTACAGATGGCAAACAAGTCCATATGCTTTCTGTGACTGGCCTGTGGCCACAGAGGCTGGTAAAGTGGGCACAGCCCAGTGCAGAGGATAAATGGGAAGGAAAAGCCTGCATGTACCCACTGTAGGCCAGACTTGGCATGGCTGTGGGTCACCTAGGCCGGGGGCTGGCACAGCAGTGGCCCACTAGCCAGCGGAGCCTGGGCAGGGAGGCACCAGCAGACCTGGTGGCCCCTTACCCAAGGGCAGTTCCACGTCCAGCGAGTACTTGTGTGAGCCCAGCCCATGGCTGCGCACAAACTGCTCCCCGCTGCACTCGTCCTGGGGCGCATCCTCCACGGCTGCCTGGCAGCCCTCCCCAGCACCAGCGGCCCCTGAGTGTTGCGCAGAGGCGGGCAGGTCCTTGCTGCAGCACGGCTGCTCCTCGTCCTCCAAGGGGTCCCCTGTGGCTGCCTGGGGTGGCCCCTCCCCAGCACCAGTGGCCCCCGGGTGGTATGCAGAGGCGGGCAGGTCCTTGCTGCAGCATGGCTCATCTGGGGCATCAGGAGTGCTTGACCAGTGAGGGACTTCCCAGTCTGAGCTCAAGGAACCAGGGGGACCCTCATCAAGGAAGCTGGCTTCTGGGCACCGGTCAAAGTCCAAAGGCACCAGCAGCCTGAAGCAGTTCTCCACTTCCGTCAGACAGCACCCAACTTCTGCAGACATCTCTGCCGAGACATGGAGACACATCTGGCCTCGTCACACTGAGCGAGGAGTATCCCCACCACACACTGTGTCGAGGTCCTGGTCACTGTTAGCACCAGGCAGCTAAGGGTCACATGTGCCACCTGCACCCTTGGGCCTCACTTCCCAAGAAAAGCCAACACCCAAGGTAAACATATCACAGCAGCTTTCACCTGCTTACTAAACTGTCCAGCTGGCAGGACTGCAAGGTCACCTCTTGGCAGCCGGCAGGAGCACAGGCAAACACGCCAGGGACCAACTGCAGAGCAGGGAGCCTTCAGCCAGAGCAGTGCATCCCAGAGAGGGCTGAGCCTCTCCCAGCAGCCACTTCTGCCAACATCAAGCCACACCCTGCAGGGCTGGGCCAGCTCTCCCTCCTGGTGGCCTCTCTACCATCTGGGCACAGCTGCCTGCCTACAACAGGCCCTGGGGGGTCTGGGCACAGAAGAGCATCAGCCCCGCTGTCTGAGACACAGAGCAGCTGCCCTGGCGGGTCTTGGGCACCCTGCAGGTGGACGACTATCCCCTAGATCTTCTGATTCCCCACACCCTGTTCTCTCCCTCAAGAAAAGGCTGGCTGCCAGAACGTACATCGTAGGGATCTGGGGGGTAGAAGCTGGGTTAAGAGCAAATGGGGAGCTGGGTGCAGGGGTACATATGTAATACTAGAAACTCGGGAGGCTGAGGCAAGAGGATTGCAGGTTTGTGGCCAGCCTCAGTAAAATTACCAAGGACTAAGCAACTCAAAATTTAAAAATTTTAAATTACAATAAAAAGGGCCAGGGATGAACTTCAGTGGCAGAGCACACCTGGGTTCAATCCCCATTACTAAAAAAAAAAAAATAGGTAGGGGAGAGGGAGGTGAATGGTGGCTGGGAGACAAAACGGCAAGGGGACCTTCAGCAGACCCAAGCACAGACCACTGGAAGCTCTCCACTCAGTCTGCGCCCAGGGAGCCTCCCCAAAGGGCCACAGACAGAATTAACCACCAGGGGGCGCAGGGGTGCAAGCGCCTGTGCAGGGACTGCCCAACCTGAACCCTAGCCTGGCCTGCCTGGGTCTCCTGTGACCCGGGTCCTGGGAGGATGCACAGGCACAGGCAGCCCTTGGTATGTGCGAGGCACCCTCAGCCTCGAACTTGCCTTCCATTTCCCTTTCGGCCTGCTTGGCTCTTTCTCTGTAGATTCTATCCAAGTGCCTCTGCTTCTGCTCTTCTTGCTGCCTTTCTGCCAGAGTCCTCCCATTTACATCCTGAAAGTCCACCTGGGAAACAGTGAAGATCAGGGCTGTCCACAACAAACACTCACCAGAGAGCAAACAGCCACCACATGAGCATGCAGCAGGCCTCAGCAAGGGGAGACGCCATCATCTTAACAACAGGATATATGCTGAACTGCGATGCTTCATCTTGAGAAACTCGCGAGTCTACCACTTCAGATAAAAGAGGTGTGAACTCCCAGCCCTGGCCAGGTGCCATTGATGCAGGCCTGTTGTCCCAGTTACTTGGGAGGCTGAGGCAGGAGGAATACCTGGGCTCAGGAGTTCGAGGACAGCCTGGGAAAAACAAAACCCCACCTCAAAAATAAAATTAAAAAAGACTTCCAGCCACAAGTGCAGCACAGGTGGGAGTACAGGAGGCAAACGGGCTGCTGTCTGGACCCCAGAGCCCAAGCACCACCTGAGTGTGCACCCCAGGAGGTGGCACGCCAGTGGGTCAGAGGGAGAGCTGGTTCTCTGGCCCACAGGCAGGGCCACCTGTCCACAGAGGGCAGGGGCAAAGCAAGGTCTGGGCAGTGACAGAGTTGGGTTGGGATCACAGCAGCAGGTCCTGATGGATTTCATCATGCCCAGAACCCATTAGAGCCAATGGCAGGATCCAGGTGGGGACTCTTAAGAACATAGGTAGGGAAACTCCCAGAAGACAGTGCCTGTCACAGAACAGGGCTGAACAATCAAAGGTGACACAGGCCTACAGGCTCAGCTTGATGCACACTTGGGCACAGCTTGTCTTCCTCAAAGATGTTCCTCCCCTCCCAGGCCCCAAGCAGGTCCAGCAACCCAGGTACCTAAGCCAAGCTGCCCAACAACATGGCCTGGGAGCACTCTGTACTTGGCTCCACAGTGAGAGGTCTTCCCTCCCGAGGCCTACCTGCTCTGCCCCAGGGAACCAGCAGCACTGTGCAAGGCTCACCTACCTTTTTGGTGTGTTTTAAGAAGTGGTAGCCCAAGGCTAGCTTCTTGTAGGCCTCACCAAACCTCTCATTCCACCCTTCCACAGCGCGCAGGGCTGCCTGCCTCAGCCTCTGGGCTGCCTCTCTGGGGGGCGGCAAGGGCTGCTCATGGTTGGTGCCCAGTGTGAGCTCCAGGAACTCCTGGAAGTCAGAAACAAGCAGCACCCTGAACTGGTGAGACCTGGTGAAGAGCTCATCCACGATCTGGAAGGCGGACAGGCGGACCTCAGCATGGTCCTGGGTCAGCTGTGTTTTCAGCAGGCGGTAGGCACAGCTGAGCTGCTCCTCTGAAGACCTGGGGGCACAAGCCAGCCTGAGCTCAGCACCTGGTACTTGAAGGGTCAGTTTACACTCACACAGGACGCACTATTTACATATAGTGGGGGCCACAGCTGCTGTCCAGGCTTCCTCTTCCCCTTCTCCTAGAGCTGGGTAAGCAGACCAATGTCTTGGCACGAATGAGGCCCCTCAACTGTGCCTCTTTTTGTGTGACCCACAAGCCCAAACTGTTTCCTACATTTTTAAATGGTTTAAAGAACTGCTCAGTGGTGCACTTGCCTGGCCTGCACAAGGCCCTGGGTTTGAGCCCCAGCACGGCAAAACAAATAAGTGATCAAGACACGTGAAGGAATGATTCTTGATGTGGGAAAGTTATGAGTGCCAAGTATCAGTGCCATTTATAAAGTTTTATTAAAATGCAGCCCTGTCCACAGCTGCTCTTAGAGCTGCGTGGTGTCAGCAGGGACCTCAGCCTCAAGTATTTTTCATCATCCCTTCACAGATGCTTCCTCACCACTCAGGAGCACCACAGACTAGCTGAGTGCACAGACCCAGCCTCTTCTGCAGGAAGTGAGGGGAAGGCCCATGGAGCCCTCTGGGTGTCGCCTCTCCCCAGCCCTGCCCTGTGTGAACCCCAGAGATTTAGGAGTTTTCAAGGACCTGCAGCAAAACTGTGTCTGAGTTGGAGTTTCTTACTGAAAGGTACACAACATCAGTTTTGTTCTTTGAACACAGGTTCATGTTCCCAGCAAATGACAGGAAGAAGTTTTGCTTCCTGCCTGATTCTGGGGATGGATGATGGATGCATTCTAAAGACAGAGTGGCTGGGTGTGATTCAGGGATAGAGTCCCTGCTTAGCATGCACAAGGCCCTGAGTTCCATTCCTAGCACCACAACACACACACACAGTGCAGATTTACCCAACTGTGAACGTTCTCCCTTCCCATGTTTCAACAGTAATAAAAGAGGTACATTTGCCCACAGATCACAGATGCACCCAAGAATGCCTCAGTTATATGCTTTGTAACATGCACATATAGAAAGTATCAGAAGTACCAAGCACAGACCTCTCTGTGCTCTGCTGACCTGCACCTCCACCCACAATGCTGCCTGTCAGAGATGACTTTGCAGGGCCTGGGGAATGTTGCTGGCCTGGTCCTTGGTGGATCTTTCCAGGCGGAGGCGGGAGGGGGTGGCTGAGATATGGAGGTGGGCAAAGTGCTGAGGTCCAAGAAAACCCCACAATCTCCCTAGAGTCAGGGGCTTACTGGGATAAATATCATGAAATGCTAAGCCTAAAGACATACTTGCAAACTTTCTTCAGTTCCTTCATTTTCTCAGGATTCAGTTGGGGTTCTCCTGAAGTTGTGAGCTCTTCTACCAACTTTAACAGTTTTTGATCCATGTCTAGAAATACGGAACGCAGAGATGAAATGCCACCTTACTTTACCCTCTTGGTCTTATAGATAAATGCTACCGGGTTCGCCTAAATACTGCGCACCGCGGGAGGGCCTGAGGCTGTGTCCAAGGCTCTGGCCTCCGCAGAAAGACGCCCTAGGAAACAGGGCAGCTCCAAGCACCGTTAGGGCGAGTCAAGAGTCCCCGGTGACGATCTGGAAGTGTCAAAGCCGAGGCTAGATCGGGACAACCAAGCCACGGTGCGGGAGACGCTGCCGCACCGGGGACGGGCAGGTGCGGAAGGTAACGAAAGCCACCGTCTTACACCAACGCGCGGGGAGTGGAGGGCCCTGCTGCCAGGCAGCGCAGCGAGCGCAGAAGCGCGCGGCCTCGGGACCCCGGGCCGGCTGGGTGCGACACCCCCAACTGCGCGGCCAACGCGGAACCTACCGCATCGCCCGCCCCTTCCGGCAGAGGCCCCGCCCCCGCCGCCCACCACGCGTCCCGGAGCTTTGAAGCCATTGGCTCCCTGATACCGCGGCGTGGGAGCAAAGGTCAGTTCTGCAACCACCACACCTACAGCGCGAGGCACCACCATCTCCCCGCCCCTTCCGGAGGAGACCCCGCCCACCCCTTCAAGGCTCGGAGCGAGGCAACCCTCGTCTCGACAGCGCAGGCGCTAGGGTGAGGCCGACCTCTCGCAGTGACGCTGGCGCGCTCCCCGCGAGGCGGGGCTGCCCTAGGAGGTCGAGGCGCGAGAAAAATGAAGCAGGAGGGCGCAGCAAGTCCTTAAAGGCGCCGCGGTGTAAAAGGGGCAGGACGTCTGGGTCGACAACTCGCTAGGAAACTCTGACCCAGAGAGAGGTTTGAGCCTGGACAGCACGGCACGTCCGCCAGGAGGCTCGCGGCCCTGCCCCCGAAAGGTCAGCGAGGGCGGCCCAGGTGGGAGCCTCGGGCTTGTCTGGGCCTTGGTACCGCGGGCGGGAGGGGAGCCGGGGCGGAGGCGTTGGGTGTCACGACGCGGCGCGCGGGGTGGGGCGGGGGCGGTCGGGGGAGGCGCCCGGTTCCCCTCTGCGGCGTGACTTTGCCCAGCCTAAAGGTCGCCCACCAGCCGGCACGTGCTTTGCTTCCCTCTGCCGAAATTCCTTGAAAGCTCTGTCCGCCGCCCCGGGCGGGAAGCCGGGATGGCTCCCTCCTCCCACCACCCGGGGCACACCTGCCGGCGCCCGGCGCTGCTGCTCAGGGCCGGTAGTCCACGCCGCAGGGCCTTTTCCACTCCAGCCTGGGAGCCCCAGCCCTCTCTTCAGAGCACTCCAGGTTTCAAGCACGTCCAGGGCCAGCTGCCAGCCCGCCCTCGGCCCTCGCAGCTCTGGAGGGCGGGCACTCGTCGTCGGGGCCAGAGCGCGCCGGGCTTGCCGCCCACCTGCCCCGCCCCGCCCCGGCGGAGCGGAGAGCCCACTGCGCGGCCCACAGCCCCTCCCAGCCCGCACCCTTCTGTGGCCTCTGGCCCACACTGCAGCCCCGTCTTCTTAGCCGCCTCCAGGTTCCTGATCTCACCTGCGCACCTCCTTTCTGCCCTCGGGGCTGCTCCTGAGAACTGGGGTCTTTCTAGCTTCATGATGACGCACATAGTCAGGCATTCGGATCTCTTGAATGGAGAGTGAAATGAGAAGGCCAAGGTGAATCTCGGTGAGAACTAGAAGATGTTTTAAAAGAACCAGTGGAAGCCAGATGTGGTGGTGCACACGATGTCCCAGCTGTCCAGGGATTGAGGCAGGAGGATAGCTTGGGCCCAGGTGTCCGGGTCAGTCTGGGCCTGAACTTGTCTCCGAAGGGGGAAAAGAACCAACTGGAATTTTCAGAGATTTATTATTTAAAAAATGCAAGCTGGAAAAAAATGGAACTTCTTTAAAGAAGTAAAAGTATGGTCAGCTCAGACTTGCAAGCTGACCTTCAAAACCTAAGTGATAGCAAAAAATGTATGCGCAGACATTCACACAACAAAACCACCTGACAGTGCGGAACACCCCATGTTGTTAAGTGGTGTGACCATACCCTGAACCCCTAGAGCAACTGTAAAGAAAGCGGCAGGGCTGGGGATACAGCTTGGTGGTAGGGCGGCATGTGTGAGGCCCTGGGTCCCGTCTCCAGCACACATACAGATGTGGGACTGCTAATGAGTATGCAAAGACAGAGGTGTCTTTTAAAAGTAATCAAAAATGAAGCTGATGAAAAAGAAATAGGTAAGAAAAACAGGAAACAAGTTGTAATACAGCCAATCTGAATCTACAACAGTCACCATGTCAGTGATCTGAATGCCCTGGTTACAAAGGAGAGATCAGGGCTAGGACTGGGTCTCAGTGGCAGAGTGCTTGCCTTCCACATGTGAGGCACTAGGTTCAATCCTCAGCACCACATACAAATAAAATAAGGGCATGCTGTCCATCTACAACTATAAACAGAAATTTTAAAAAATACTGTCATGTATATCTAAAAAAGATTTAAAAATACACATACACACAGAAATACACACACACACATATATATATATATATATATATATCACCCCGTCCCCGGAAACGCCAGGTACAGTGGTGCACACCTGGAATCCCAGCAACTCAAGACAGTTGAGGCAACTTAGAATTGAAAACACCAGTGACTTAGCAAGCCCTAGTCTCAAAACAACATAAATAAAAAGGTATGGGATGTGGCTCAGTTCTAAAGCACCCCTGGGTTCAATTCTCAGTACCAAAAAAATTTTAAATAAAAAATGGAGATGGTCCAGTTAGTTTAAAAAGAGCAAGACCAAACTATATTGTGTCTACAAGAAACATGGAGAGGCTAAAAGGGCCACCACAGATGCTGTGTGCAGCAGCACAAGTGAAGGATGAGTCTGTTGACTGCACTGGTCTCTCCCTGGGGGCATTCTGTGGAAGGGGTGAGTCCTTTCAGCAGACTGCAACTGTGCAGGCAAACTCCAGACACAGGCACTGAGACCTGACCTACTGCGTCATTAATATTCCCCGTAAGAAACTAGAAAGAGCAATTAATCAGAATAAGTTGCAGTAGAGATTAATAAGGTTGAGATCAATTGAACAGAAAATAGGCAAACAGGAGGGGTGTCACTCAAACCAAAGGAGGTTTATTAGTCAGCTTTTGTCACTGTGATTAAAATGTCCGACAGGAACAACTTAAGGAGGAAAGACTGACACCATCTCCTGGTTTCAGAGTCCTCAGCCGCTCCCTACTCTGGGCCTGAGGAGAGGCAGAATGTCCTGGTGAAAGCTGCTCAGCTTAGGGCAACCAGAGGCAAGGAGGGTGGGCAAAGAAGATAAGCCCTCCCAGGGCACACACCAGTGACCTGCTCCAGCTGTCCCATCTGAACAGTCCCTTTGGCATCGATAGACTAATCCTTTTATGTGATCAGAACCTTCATGATCCAGCCACTTTCTGAATACGTGAGATGGGGTCGGTCCAGATCTATGCTGTAACAGGAGATGTTTGAAATGAACAGATAAGCCTTCAGCTAGACAGAGAAAAAGAAGAAATAAATTACCTATGAGAGTGACAGGAGAAGCTGGGCACATGGATAATCCCAGCAACTTGGGAGGCTGAGGCAGGAGAATCATGAGTTCAGAACCAGCCTCAGCAACTTAGCAAGACCCTGTCTCAAAATAAAAAAGGGCTGGAGATGTGGCTCAGTGGTTAAGCCCCAGTGGGTTCACACCCTGGCACCCAAAAAACAAAAAGAATGAGAGGAGACCTCCCTGCAGGTCCTGCAGACAACAGAGCATGATAAGTTACGAACATTAATTCCAGAAGTTTTCTCTTAGATGAACAAACTATCAGAATACTTGGGGTGGGGGGAACTGATCAGTCACAACTATTAAAGAAACTGAGCTCATACTAAGTAAGAAACCCTTGCAAACAAAATTCCAAAACTCGATGGTTTCACTGGCAAATTCTATCAAACATTTAAGAAAATGGTACCAGGTTTACACAGAATCTTTCAAGAAAGGAGGTTAACACTCTCCAACTCATGAGTTTTGAATGCTTTTGTACTAAAACCAGACAAAAACATTCCCAGAAGCGGGCACAGGGGCACACTCCTGTAATCCCAGCAACTTGGGAGGCTGAGGCAGAAGGATCTCAAGTTTGAGACCTCAGCAACCTAGCAAAACCTTGTCTCAAAATATAAATGAAAGGGCTGGGGATGTGGCTCAGTGGTAGAGCACTCCTGGGTTCAATCCCAAGTACCACAAAAATAATAATTCCAAGAAAGAAAGACCACAGACCAATAGCCCTCATGACTATAGTTGTAAAAATCCCTAGCAAAGCTAGAGCAAGTCAAATCCAGCAATATATGAAAACAATGCAACATGACTGAATGAAATTTATTTCAGTCATGCAAAATTCAGTAATTCAAAATTAGTCAATGTCTGGTAAGCAGAATAAAGGAGAAAAATCATGGTAATTTCATTCTACAAAGGAATTTTTAAAAACAAAATTCAATGTTCCTTATAATAACATCTAGAAAACTGGCGTGGAACTTCTCAACCAGATGAATGATGTCTGTAAACGCTCTATTTCAGTGTGCAAGACGCAGTGCTTTCTGCCTAACAGGGCACTAGACACCGTTCTTACACCTCATCCTCAATATCGCTCTGGAGGCTCCAGGAACTGGTAATAAAAGTGAAGTAAAGAGGTTTGAAGGGGAGAAACAGGACTGTTTGGAGGTGACATAACTGCACACATGGAAAACCTCAAAACTTTACCTGAAAGCTACCAGAACTCATGAGTGAGTGAGTAGGGGCACAGTAGTCACAAGATCAATTAACAAATACTGATTGTGTCTACATATTTCCACTGAATAATTGAGAGGTAGATTTTATTGGTGGGCCTTTAATCATTTCTTTATATGTGGTGCTGAGAATTGAACCCAGTGCCTCACACATGCTAGGCAAGTGCTCTACCACTGAGCCACAACTCCAGCCCCAAGAGGTAGATTTTAAAAATTAAGAATCATTTTTAAAATTAAGAAAGACCCAGCAGCTCAGGAGGCTGAGGCAGGAGGATCACAAGTTCAAAGCCAGTTTCAGCAATGGTAAGGTGGTAAGGAACTCAGTGAGACTCAGTCTCTAAATACAAAATAGGGTTGGGGATGTGGCTCAGTGGTCAAGTGCCCCTCAGTTCAATCCCCAGTACCAAAAACAAACAAAAAAAACCCTGAAGTTAAATCAATTAAATATGTTAAATTTAGGTAAGAGTAAAAATCTAAACTTCATGAAGAGATGCAGCATATTTATGGGTTGGAAGACTCAATGTCTCTTATGGATTC